ACAAACATCCAAGAGAATGGTCCAGGAAGACAAGAGAAGAGGTGATTTCTCTTCAGGAAGGGCAATGGCTATGATTGCAAATGTTAAACATACCAAGAGACACAGGAAGCATCATTCGCAAATTCAAGGCAAAGGGCACTGTTGAAACACCTGGTCGTGGCAGAAAGAAGATGCTGACTTCGACTGCCGCTACCTATAGAGTGGAGAGAAGTCCCCGTGTGACTGCTGAGGAACTGAGAAAAGATTTGTCAGATGTGGGTACAGAAGTTTTCAGCCCAGACTAAGACGCACACGTAATGCCTCCGTGCCAGAACTCCCAGCCCCCCTTGCTGTCTCCAAAGAATAAGAAGAGTCGACAGTAGCCAAAAAGGACATGTGGACAAACCACAAAAGTTGTGGGGATAGTGTTCTGTGGACTGATGAAAAAAAAATTAGAACTGTTTGGGCCCATGGATCAACGCTATGTTTGGAGGAGGAAGAACAAGGCCTATGATGAAAAGAAACACCTTGCCTACTGTGAAGCATGGTGGAGGGTCAATCATGCTTTGGGGCTGTTTTGCTTCTGCAGGTACAGGGAAGCTTCCCTGTGCAAGGTACCATGAATTCTCTTCTTTTGGATGGAAACGTGATGCAGTCCGTCACACACTGGGAGACTTGGATTTCAACCTTAATGATCCCAAGCATACCTCCAAGTCACTAGAGCATGGTTGCAGAGGAAAGGCTGGAACATTTTGGAGTGGCCATCGCAGTCACCAGACTTAAATCCGATTGAGAACCTCTGTGGGACTTAAAGAAAGCAGTTGCAGTGCGCAAGCCTAAGAATGTGACTGAACTGGAGGCCTTTGCCCATGAAGAATGGGCGAAGATACCCGTAGATCGCTGCAAGACACTTGTGTCAAGCTATGCTTCACGTTTAAAAGCTGTTATAACTGTAAAAGGATGCTGTACTAAGTACTAAGATTGAATGTCACTTGGGGGTTGAATAAAACTGATAATTGAGCACAGAAAAGACATTTGTGCATTATAACTGTTATGTTATATTTGTCTGACCTACAAGTGCCCTTTAATGTAAATAAGCAAGATGACTGAATGATCAAAAGCAATGTCAAACTGGCCAAAACACTCAATTTCAGTGGGGTTGAATAATTTTGGCCAAATGTATTTACTCTTCCCCAAATTACATCACTGATCTTGTCTCCAAATATCACCCAAATCATCCTCCACTCCTCCCACAACCGCCTGCTCTCTAGCTCCCTTGTCTCCTCCTCCCATGCTAGTCTCCAGGAATTTTCCAGAGCTTCCCCTATCCTCTGGAACTCTCTACTCCAATCTATCCGACTATCGCCTACTCTGCCCACTTTTAGGCAATCTCTGAAAACCTATCTCTTCAGCCTTCTGCCTTTGGCTAACAGCCAAATCTTCTATTTCAGTTCATCCCCCACATTTATTACCTTTTGTACCACCAGCCCCTCCCTCTTAGATTGTAAGCTCCAAGGATCAGGCCCTCCTATCCCTCTTTTATTGAACTGTATTGTTGCTATATTGTCTCCCTTTGTATTGTAAAGCGCTGAGCAAACTGTTGTCACTGTTATAATAATAATACTGGGGAAATTCTGTCTGCAACATCCCCCTTCCTCCCCCCTACAACAATTCTACCTCACTGCAACCCCCCCCCCCCTTTCCAGAAAATGATTTCTCCCTCTTACTCCCAAGCAAAGATCTGACCCCATTAAAAAGGAACCCCCCAGAAAAGATCCCCCCACTGCAGGACACCCCACTCCCCATGCTTTAAACAAATAATAAACCCAAAAGCAACCTCCTAACTAAAGAAACACTCCTCCCACAAAGATTCCTCCCACTAAAGCTAACCCCCTTTCAGAGGCAATTCCCCAAGTAAAATATCCACAAGAAACTTCCCTCCTCCAAAGCAACCCTCCCTGCCGACTAGACACTTCATTTAGACAGGAATTCTCACTCCCTGTACACCTATCCTTCCTCAGATACAGCGCGGCAGAGAGGCAGAGGAATTCCTCCATCCCAGACCTAGTTGGCTGTGTCCTATGACACGCCAGAGCTGAACAGACATCCTCGTCTCTGCACTGCTTATTCCCTTCATATCTGACTGCAGTGTCTTTGTAAAGAAGCCAAAAAAAAGTTACAGCATCAAGCCCTGGATCACCTCACAGGAGATACAGGAGGGTGCTGAAACTAGCAATACTCATAGTCCTACTGCTGAACTAATAGGGTCCAGCGGCCCCAGGTCCTGGGGGGGGGGCACAATTGATATTTGGGGGGGCACATCCCACCCCAGCACCCCCCAAGATCCAACCCTGTCCAGCAGTCTTCTCCCCTTATCAGAACCGCCACTCCGACCCAATCCATCCTGCACTAACACAGGAAGGCACGGGATGAAGATTTAGCTGCGGTGATGGACACAGAACTATGTGTACCCATTGGTTGAGTAGGCAGTGGAAGGTAGGGCAGCCTGTAGGCTACAGGCTGCCCCACCCCCCTGTCTCGTCAGCCAATGAGTAACTGAAGCTATCTCATAAGTCCCATCCTTCTGAGTCCTGACATCACCCAGGATCTCCTGTGTCCCAGCAGCTGTTTAGTATTCAGCGTGGAGCAGACAGGCTGTGTGCCTCCTGAAGCTGAAAGGCTGAAAAAGCCTGACTGCTGCACCTTTGGTGGACACTCAGGGAAGGGGGTTAAACCCCCCTGACCCCCCCCCCCTATCTACGCCCTGCCTTTGTCAGATGCGTATTGGAGACCTGGTCAGGATCTGAATACAGATTACGGTGCTTGATATCACAGGGGACAGGGATATGCCATTTGGAGTAAAGGAGGGGCATAGCTGTCAGCCAATAAATGGGGCCACATAGAGGAGGTCTTCTTGAATGACAATGCAGCCCTTGGTTAGTCTTCATACACAATATTGTGCTGTAATTACTAGAATGTTATTATTCGACCCTTTTTTGTGACTGATCAAGAAAGTGCAGTCTTATAATGTCATTCAATATAAACTTTCCAAGTACTGAAAAGCTCCAGTTTCTTTTTAAGCTACCTGTAGATCTCTTAAGTTTTAATAGTGTCTGCATGTGATTTGAATATTGTATCTTAACCTCCCTGGAGGTATTCCCGAGTGTAGCTCGGGGTAAAGTTTCAGTACCGCAAGCGGTAACTCCAAGCTACACTCGGGCTTACCATGCGGCGCTGCTCTCGGGATCTGTTCGTCACTTACCTTGTCCTGCTCTCCCGCGATGTCCCTCTTGCAGGGTCCCCGGCAATGTCCTCCGGCGGATGCCGGCATCTGTCTTCTGGGTTCCATTCCCTGCCAGCGTCGGGACGTACGGGGAGGGAATGACAGGAAATTTGAAAATGACAAAAAGTGACATTCACTAAATTCACTAAAATCACATAGTAAACCATTACTGTATCAAACCATTTCACATACATTTTGTCCTGTGCCCTGCCTGCATTTTTACTGTTCTTTCTGCCTGGAAACTGAGAAGTGTCCATGGCATCCAAAAAGCGTCCCTTTAGGTCAAAAGCGGTTTTAGACCAGCTAGAGAACAGCGATAGTAAATCAGAACCACTTGCAGAATTGAGTGATAATGATTCGTGGGGAAATTCGTCATCAGACACTGAAAACGATTTTGTGACTTTGCTCAGTGATGTGCGAACTTGGCGCTATATTTCAAATTTCAGTGTTTTTGGTTTGATTATATTATTGAATTAAATTTATTATTATTATATTATTATTTTTTATGATTATTTATTAAATTATAATTTATGATTTCGTGTTTAAAATTGTAACATACCCGGGATGTTTACTAGACTCTTGTTGGGACAGATATCAGTGAGTTATTCCTAAAAATTACAGGCCTAGAATAAAAAAAATACATATTTCCATGCAAAAAAATGTACAGCTTTGAGCACAGAAATATGGACATAATCAGACCGCTAGGGAGGTTAAGGTAACACTAAAGCTTTTTTTTTTCTTTAAAACCAAAAACATATCTATACTTACCTGCTCTGTGCACTGATTTTGCACAGAACAGCCCCAATCCTCTTCTTTTAGGGTCCACTCCGGCACTCTTCCCCCTCAAGCAGTGCCCCCAGGAAAGGTTGCTCGCTCTGGGGGCATTGTTGCATGTTTCTTCCCCGTGCCGCTGCTCTATGCTTTCATAAGGCCCATATAGCCAAACCTTGGATAACCCCCCCCCCGTTCTCTCCTCATTGGCTCAGTGACTGTGATTGACTGCTGTCTTAGCCAATGAGGAGGAAGAGTCCACAGACAGCAGAGGATGTCAAAAAACATCGCTGGATTGGAGGGGTCTCAGGTAAGGCTTGTGGTGGGGGGGGGCCTGCTGCACATAGAAGATTTAGATTCATTAACACGGTGGAGTGATTGCACAGTTGGGTGGTAGCTGCTTTCCAGATTCAATTTGACGTAATTTGACTTATTTTTTATTTATTTGTTTATAGTTGTTTTTAGAGTACTAATAGCACAGGGAGTTTTATATATATATCAGTGGTACCAGTCCTGTGTGTGGTGTGATACTTCCTGTCCTGGATGACAACACTCACTCATCCACTCACTCCCTGTGACTATGGAGGAACAGTGTTGTCACTCTAGGCTGCTCTGCTGATTTGAACTACACCCTTCGCCTTGAACCCCCCCCCTCCTCCCCCTCCCCTTTATCTCTGTGACATAGGATGGACAAGTTCTGTGGTCCATAGAAGGTAGCTGAAAAAGCTGTAAAAATTAAGATTTCAGTTCAGTGCACAGAAAGTTTGAAGGACTCTGGAATCCTGGTAGCCTCAACTAGTATTTGTTGTACATGCATAAAATATTCTCGACCTGAAATGAGAAATGAATGAAGCCATCACATCTAAGTGCTGATAACCTGCAATATATAAGATTTATGTTTTTGGGTTTAGATATCCTTTTAATAACTTTTCTCAATCTCTAATTACAATCTCTTTTCTGTCCTCAGATCTATGAGGTGTTCAGTGTGATCAGGGACATTGGTGCCATTGCACAGGTGCATGCCGAAAATGGTGATATAATCGCCGAGGTAAGATCATCATTGGAATTGATATGTTTCAGTAACCAGTCCATACACTGTTTATACGCTTTTGTTTATCACTGTTTTATGTAATATATATGTTTTTTTGTTTATACTGTAGAGGAACAATCAGTAGGGCAAGCTATGCTAACTTTAATGATGGGAGGGACAAATGAAGATCAACAAAAGGGCTGAGAAAAGTATCTTTCTTGGACAAGTTCTGCCTACACCCACAGCCAGGCCACAGAGCAAGCAGAAGACATGGCTGTCTTGGGCGTTTTAGCAGGATGGGTGGAAAAAGAGCCAGACCTGAACCCTATGCAGCTGCAGTAATTTACAGCTCAATGGAAGGGCGAACATTGGCCTTTTTGCCTTGGGTTCTAAAGGACCCAGCACAAACCTAGGCATTTGCGTGTGATATAAAGAGAGAATCAAAGCTCAGATTGGCTAATCTTCAGCAGTGACAGTGGGACCAAACACCTAGAAAGAACCTAGAGCTGAATTTTCTCCCAGAAACTTATATATTTCAAACATACCATTACTTACCGTATTTTTCGCACCTGACCATAAGACGCACCTAGATTTTAGAGGAGGAAAACAAGTATAAAAAAAATATCCTAAACCAATGGGACTGCAGACATAGTACAGGAGATGACTAGAGACTGCAGACATAGTACAGGAGATGACTAGAGACTGCAGACATAGTACAGGAGATGACCAGAGACTGAAGACATGGCGCAGGAGATGACCAGAGACTGCGGACACAGTACAGGAGATGACTAGAGACTGCGGACACAGTACAGGAGATGACCAGAGACTGAAGACATAGCGCAGGAGATGACCAGAGACTGCAGACATAGTACAGGAGATGACCAGAGACTGCGGACATAGTACAGGAAATGACTAGAGACTGCAGACATAGTACAGGAGATGACCAGAGACTGAAGACATAGCGCAGGAGATGACCAGAGACTGCAGACATAGTACAGGAGAAGGACCAGAGACTGCGGACATAGTACAGGAGATGACTAGAGACTGCAGACATAGTACAGGAGATGACCAGAGACTGCGGACATAGTACAGGAGATGACTAGAGACTGCAGACATAGTACAGGAGATGACCAGAGACTGCAGACATAGCGCAGGAGATGACCAGAGACTGCGGACATAGTACAGGAGATGACCAGAGACTGCGGACACAGTACAGGAGATGACCAGAGACTGCGGACACAGTACAGGAGATGACCAGAGACTGCGGACATAGTACAGGAGATGACCAGAGACTGCGGACATAGTACAGGAGATGACCAGAAACTGCGGACATAGTACAGGAGATGACTAGAGACTGCAGACATAGTACAGGAGATGACCAGAGACTGCGGACAGTACAGGAGATGACCAGAGACTGCAGACACAGTACAGGAGAAGACCAGAGACTGCGGACATAGTACAGGAGATGACTAGAGACTGCAGACATAGTACAGGAGACGACCAGAGACTGCAGGCATAGTACAGGAGATGACCAGAGACTGCGGACAGTACAGGAGATGACCAGAGACTGCAGACACAGTACAGGAGATGACCAGAGACTGCGGACATAGTACAGGAGATGACTAGAGACTGCGGACATAGTACAGGAGATGACCAGAGACTGCGGACATAGTACAGGAGATGACTAGAGACTGCAGACATAGTACAGGAGGTGACCAGAGACTGCGGACACAGTACAGGAGATGACCAGAGACTGCAGACACAGTACAGGAGATGACCAGAGACTGCAGACACAGTACAGGAGATGACCAGAGACTGTGGACATAGTACAGGAGATGACTAGAGACTGCGGACATAGTACAGGAGATGACCAGAGACTGCGGACATAGTACAGGAGATGACTAGAGACTGCAGACATAGTACAGAGGTGACCAGAGACTGCGGACACAGTACAGGAGATGACCAGAGACTGCAGACACAGTACAGGAGATGACCAGAGACTGCAGAGACACAGTACAGGAGATGACCAGAGACTGTGGACATAGTACAGGAGATGACCAGAGACTGCGGACATAGTACAGGAGATGACCAGAGACTGCGGACATAGTACAGGAGATGACCAGAGACTGCAGACATAGTGCAGGAGATGACCAAAGACTGTGGACATAGTGGAGGACATGACCAGAGACTGCGGACCTTTGGGGAGAGGATGTACCCAAATTTGACAGGTACACGCTCTCACTTCTGCTGAGTTGTTCTTCCCCCCTCCCTCCCCGTAGTCTTGTGGGACATGTGACAGGTCCCACAAGACTACGGTGCCATTCACGAAGCACAGCCGGGTGCCCACATTGAAGATGCCTGCGTGAGGGAGAGAAGACGGCCAATGGAAGCAAGACACCGCTGGACTGAGGAACAGGTAAGACGGAGGAGCGGGTTCTTCTTCACAGTAGAGCCGAGCGGCCGGCCCGATATTCTAACATGGTGGCGGGAATACCAGGCCGGCCCTTCCATAATCGCTCCATAAGACGCACAGACATTTTCCCCCATTTTTTGGGGGGGAAAAAGTATGTCTTATGGAGTGAAAAATACGGTATGTTTCTACAGGTAGCTTTAACACAACTATAGAAGCTGGCAGGTGCAGCAGTGACAGTTGCACTGAATTAAAGGGTTAGTTTACTTTTACAGAAAAAAGTGTAAAGGTGAACTGACACCTTTCCCATTCCACCAGTATACTTATCTCTGGGGTTACTGAGCTGTCCAACACTCTGCATCCGATCCAGGGATTTAAAATCCCCTGTCTTCTCCCTTTTCTTCATGCAGTGGGACAGACCAGATCAGTTCACTATGATGGCGCTGACCAATCAGAATCGATCTGGTCCATCCCGGAAGCACTGTATGGAAAAGAGCGGGGATTTCAAATCCCTGGACCAACTGCAGGGGTGCTGACAGCTCAGCAACCCCGCAGGTAAGTACAGGGGTTCCAGGGAGGAGGGGAGAGGGTCTGGTGTTAATTCATTTTTTTTTTTTTTTGTAAAGCTGAGCGAACACTTTAAGTGTACTGCTTCATACAGTAAAGAGAAACAGGTCTTTTGCTTTACTTTAACATAAAATGAGTTATATTATCTTGTAAAAATGTTCATTGCTACTGACCGTCTGCCAAATCTATCTTTATCAGGACTTGTCAAACATCCTGCTTCTGAATGACTTAATCTCATTGTATGTCTTCATAACACATGGTTGTCACTGTTTCCTTTACTGTATATCTGTATGATGACACTGACATCTACTGGCAAAACAGAGGTAATACTAAAATTGTGCAAAATTATAGAAGGCAGATACTACCCAAAATATATATATTTTATTCTGTAATAGAATGTTGATTTGTGTGAGCCTGTATTACCAATAGGTAACTGGTAGATTCAAAAATGCCATTTCTATTGCAGGAGCAACTGAGGATCTTAGAACAAGGAATCACAGGACCTGAGGGACATGTACTTAGCCGACCGGAGGAGGTGAGACTATTTTTGTGTTTGTGTTGCTTTATGAGCCCTCAACTGTGTTCCAAAATTATGGTACATTAATCTTCATTTTCTTAATATTGGTTCAATAATTATCGGTGCAGAAGTTTCAGCACAAGACATTTCCAAAATATAGACCTTGAGAACCAAAAACCTGAATAAAAAAAACGTAAGCCATAAGTACCAGTTATTTGGCATTAATTCTAAAAAAAAAAAGGTTTTAGGTTTATTTTATTTCTTTTGTTACATCTTTTTTTTTTTTTTTTTTTTACTCTTTGTAGAAAATCTTTATTTTACATGTAGACATTTTAAAATGCAGGTTACACCCAAGAGATGGGTGTCACAGAGCATTCCCATTTTTTTCAGAAAACAATTAAATCAGAAGCTTCTGGATGATCTTTCTTGCCAATTCCACTCTCACACCTGTACACCCCTATGGATCAGAGCAATGTTTACATTACAGTGGTTGTAAACCCCATCTACATATCTTTTAAAGACATGCACTGCAATATGCTCTGACTCATCAAAATTCCAAATCACTATATCTGTACCTTATTTTGTGGATCAGAGTGCCTGTTACAGCGCTGTGAATGTCTTTGGTCCATGGGTGTGTCCAGGGGCGGGAGCTTGGGAGTTGTGACATCATTGACTCTCCTGACCCACCTGTGCACACAGTAGGTAGTGTGGCTTAGCATCAATAGGTGAGAGGGTGTGGCGACAGAATTTTTTTGCTGATATCGGCATTTTTTTCATTAACACAGAAGGGAGGATCTGAGCTGTCCGGCTGCTTTTTTTCACAGGCGGACTAAGGACAAATGAGTTGTGCTCGCATGCTCTCCTACCTAAACTGGTCATTTTACATTAGTTTTTTTTTAGGTTTACAGCCACTTTAAAGCTAGATTTCGACATGCGTCTAAATCTACCTTTCTAGTCCCAGTGGTTGCAGTTGGCTTGGAACAGTTATTTATGCTTTTGGAGAGCCAGCACAATGTTAGAGTAAAAGCACATATTGCAGTAAGCTCAGGGACGTGTGCTCTAGCCTTTACGGAACTGATTATCCTCTATTCTGATACTTAAACATTGTACAGTATCTCACATAAGTGAGTCCACCCCTCACATTTTTGTAAATATTTTATTATATCTTTTCATGTGACAACACTGAAGAAATTACACTTTGCTACAATGTAAAGTAGTGAGTGTACAGCTTGTATAACAGTGTAAATTTGCTGTCCCCTCAAAATAACTCAACACACAGCCATTAATCTCTAAACCCTATTTATTGTAGCAAAGTGTCATTTCTTCAGTGTTGTCACATAGTTACATAGTTAGTCTGGCTGAGAAAAGACAAACATCGATCCAGTTCAACCATACAAAAAAAAAAAAGAGTAAAATCCTATACCCACAGTTGATCCAGAGGAAGGCAAAAAACCCCAGCAAAACACAATCCAATTTGCTCCTGCTGGGAAAAAAAGTCCTTAATGATCCCCCGAGAGTCAATCGGATATTCCCTGGATCAACTATACCTATAAATGTTAGTATCCAGTTATATTTTGTGTATCTAAGAAATAATCCAGGCCTTTTTTGAAGCAATCCACTGAGCTGGCCTCTTTAGGGAGTCTATTCCACATTTTCACAGCTCTCACTGTGAAGAAACCTTTCTGTGTTTGGATATTAAATTTCTTTTCCTCCAGACGTAAAGAGTACCCCCTTGTCCTCTGTGATGACCTCAGGGTGAATAGCTCTACACCGAGTTCACTATATGAACCACTGGTGTATTTATACATGTTGATCATATCCCCCCTTAATCTCCTCTTCTCAAGAGAGAATACATTCAGTTCCTCTAATCTTTCCTTATAGCTGAGCTCCTCCATGCCTCTTATCAGTTTGGTTGCCCTTCTCTGTACTTTCTCCAGTTCTCCAATGTTCTTTTTGTGAATTGGTGCCCAAAACTGAACTGCATATTCCAGATGAGGTGTTACTAATGATTTGTACAGGGGTAATATGATATCTCTCTCTGGAGTCTATACCTCTTTAATACAAGAGAGAATAAATTCAGTTCCTCTAATCCTTCCTCATGGCTGAGCTCCTCCATGCCTCGTATCAGTTTGGTTGCCCTTCTCTGTACTTTCTCCAGTTCCCCAATGTTCTTTTTGTGAATTGGAGCCCAAAACTGAACTGCATATTCCAGATGAGGTCTTACTAATGATTTGTACAGGGGTAAAATGATATCTTTCTCTCTGGAGTCTATACCTCTTTTAACACAAGCGAGAATTTTGCTCGCTTTAGAAGCCGCAGCTTGGCATTGCATGCCAGTATTAAGCTTGTGATCTACCAGAACCCCCAGATCCTTCTCCACCATTGATTCCCCCAGTTGTACACCCCCCCCCAGTATGTATGATGCATGCATATTCTTAACCCCCAAGTGCATAACCTTACATTTATCAACATTAAATCTAATTTGCCATTGAGTTGCCCAATTAAATAGTGCATTGAGGTCGGCTTGTAAGATATAAAAACATGAAAAGATATAAAATATTTACAAAAATGTGAGGGGTGTACTCACTTCTGTGGGATACTGTATATCTAATAAAGGTTTTTCATCTTCTCAGATTGTGCAGTGCTTCCATGTGTTGTGTCTGATTGTTCTACTTCTTGTACAGGTGGAGGCAGAAGCTGTCAATCGCTCCATCACCATCGCCAACCAGACCAACTGTCCTCTCTATGTCACCAAGGTGATGAGCAAAAGCTCAGCTGAAGTTATTGCACAGTCTAGGAAGAAAGGTATTTCCTCTGTCTAGAATTCACTGTGGTCTTTTAAAATGGAAATGTTCACTAACCAATAGATGTCAATTAGATGATATAGGTTACTTTAGGTTACTGCACTTTTATTATAGCCATTGTGTGGATTGTATTTTTATAAAGAGAAGTGTATTTTTGTGTAACCTTATTCTATCTTCCCCCTTCACTCCCCGTATTGTATCTATATCATTATTTTTATAAAATCTAACCGTGGCATATCTATTCAGTTTATTTAAAGCTGATCTCTCGGCAGAACATTAAACCACAATCTCCCCAGTTAATTATTAGATTTTATGGACCAAGAAAAGACCCATTTATTGACCTGAAATCATGTGACAGTCAGGGTCTTGAGATATCTATAGTATGGGAAGGTCCTTCTGGCAGCGTCACTTTCTGTTGACATGGATGCTGAAGTCTCTACTACTAGGCTTTTGTATAGTCCGTATCCGTTAGGAGCTCTCACAGGATTCTGAAGTCTTCCAGAGGTGACATCTGACTTTAAGATCCTTGGAAATGCTGAGTAGCCCAAATCCCATGGTGATACATGCAACACAGTGCAGGGATCATCCTATTATTATTATTTTCACCAAGTGCTTTAAATCTGTAAACATTAAAGTTTGATATTATGCATTTTCAGGCTAACCGATTGTCTAGCTTAGAAAGTCTAATCTGAGTTACACAATCAGCTGCCTTCTGTTCTTTACCGACAACGGTCTCTCTCTTCATCTGAATTTGCCAGCTGTCATGCACTTCCTGAAACCATTGTCGTTTTTTTCTTAGAGAAATCCAACCTAGCTTTCATTAAACCCTTCCCTATCCTGCCCAGCCCCTCTCACATCCCCCCAGCCTTCAGCAGACTGTGCACACACTGACAGGCAAACACATTGAAGATCATATTGTCCTGCAGATGATGCCAGTGCAGCGGTACCTGTAAAAAGCCATGTCTCCCTCAGCATCCTATTACCTTGGAAACAACACTGCCAGCGGGCTTCCTATAACACTTATGCCGTTAGCTTTCTTGGTGAATGCCTGCCGGCTAGCTACGTCACTTCCGGAAAAGCCATAGCTGGCCAAGAAGGGACATGCCACCCACCCACACAGAACAGAATTACAGGACCCAACAAAGGTCATGTGACACTGCAGCCCAAAGCGGGTGGTAAACTCCATCTAAGGCTAAAAACTCCATCTAGGGCTAAAGGCAAGACCGATAGCGGACAAGTACCGTAAGGGAAAGGTGAAAAGAACTTTGAAGAGAGAGTTCAAGAGGGCAGTCCGC